TGAAGAGCATTTAGTCAGAACCACTCAGGGTAATCTCTTTCTGTGTTAACTTGAAATCAGCAGGTTTGTTATCATGATTATACTTACATAATACATTCACCATTTCCATATAAAGTAATTTAATCAAGACAGGGGTAGGTTGTGTTTGATTGGCTACAACCAAATCACAGGTTCTGGCCACACTCAGGTGGAAGGAATTACACAAATGCATCACTAATAGGAGGGCACCTTGGGCATTGTCTGCCACCATTAGAACGGTTGAAAGCATGTCATAATTGTAACAAGCACAAACCTACATATTTGTAGTTACCTAGTAGTAATGCTGTGACAACAAATCATAGAATTTTAAAAACTCAATTTGGAGAATAATCCATTGCATGTAAGGACAACTGGAGAGAAAAGTAAAACTCATATAAGAAAATTTGATGTTGGCTCAGAGACCAAGTTCTCAAGGATGACATAAAGGACACCACAATAAAACAATAGGTTGATGAATTCAATTTCCCTAAAATTAAGGCCTTTTTGCATGAATGGGTGCCATAAAGAAAATTTAAAAATGCCTTCCCAAGGAAAATTTAAGAATAAAATGGAGGCTTTTACTGTGCTATGCATTGCTTGCTAATTATCGGGTCTGGGTGCCTTTTTTTCTTTTCTTTAAGGAGTAGTGACATTAGGTGATTTTTCGAAAGACTCCAGGGTAGGCATATCWATAAGAGGAAGAGAAGAGAGAATCATCAGAAGAGGAAATAAAGTGATATTGACAAGAGATTCAAAGGATGTTTTTTGATGCCTAAGGTTTAACAAAGAATTGAGGGTATCTGTGACACAGAATAAATAAGGGCTTTGAAATGGTATACTCTGAGAACAATGCTGAGGCATCCAGGAAGATGTGGCTAGAGACCCTGGAGCAGTTACAATGCTGAAAACACATTTATGAGCCTCCAACCTTTCCGCTAAAATGGGAAGACAAATTCAGATGGGATTATCTCAACGACATCCACATTAGAAATATATTAAAGAGCTCTAGAAAAATTTTTCTTTTCTTAATTTTCTGGGAAGATATCTCTTCCTGAAACAAGATTATGCTTTTAAAAAGAGGATAATTTTTGTTGGCAAATTTTAAGACAGAAACCTAGAATTTTAACATTGTAAGTTTGCTTAAATACATGTTATTTTGTGAATATAGCCCAAAGGATGTTATCCAGCAGTTGCTGAACACTTTTAGAAAAAAATAGCACTCCTATCACCTTCCTTTTTCAGTAACAATTTATTATCTGCCTAAGGATTCATTAATATGATGTTATTTCAGGCATAAAATTCAGTGAAATTTAAAGGTCTTTAAAGTCACCATGCCCTTTGATTTTACAATAAAGTAATTGCATAAAGCATAAGTGTAGAATAATTTTACTTTCTCTGAAAAACATGTACATATATCTTAATATAGATTTTTTTAAATAAAATGACTAGAAAATTGTTCATGATATTTCTGGGTCAGAGTATCTCTATAATCTCAGGCGAACACACTATCTTTCTTTTGTGAATGGTATCCCCTCTTCTGGAAATTGCTCTTCCATCCACTACCTCCCTGGAAACTGTCCTTTTCTTTCATGAATCTTCCCAAGTTGAAGTATAATTGTCCAATAACAAGCAGTCATCCAATCTAGACCAACTGTAATGTCCCACGGTGACTGGCTTTGTTGCTGTCTCTGACTTGTCTGAAATTGACCCTGTGGAGAGTCCTTCTTGGAATCAGAGTAAATGTGTATCCTTCTGTCCTTAGTTCTAGGAACTTTCAGATAGAGAATTTATGAACAAAGGAAGGAAAGAAGGGGAAAGAAAGGAAAGGAAAGTCCTAACTGTTTCACTGTGATACTTCAAAACAACTTTATAATTTCTCTTTATAGTCACCCTTGACCTGGGGAAAATTATTATTAATAGATTCAGTGCTAAAGGGCAATTGTGTAGGATGAATTGCTGCTTAATAAAATAATTAAAGCAAGTATTTGGAACTTGAAATCTATGCTTCAGCTTTAGGCTTTCCTCTGAATATGTTTAGAGGAACCATGTTCAGGAGTTATTTTACAGCCTCCCATTCATGAACAACAACAGGATTTTGGCGTTGCTGCCTCCTTGCACTATGACGGAGTCAGGCACACCTCCATTCATGTACCCATCACTGGGACTCTGATGCCTCCCTTTATCATTGACAGTGTCATGTACACCTTCACTTTTATACTCAATACCGCTGCTGCTGCTGCCTTTCTCCTGCAAAGCACCTACTTCCAGGTAAGGCAGAACCATGGTCATAAAAAGGAAAAGAAGTCAGGGCACCCAGTGTCCAGGGTGATGGCTGACTATAGGTCGTCCAAGAAGATCTCTTGAGTTAGGCAAATAAATATGCTGATCACTGATGTGAAGAGTCTCATCCCCTCAAGTAGTGAGAAAGCAGATGGATTTGCTAAACTGAAATGTGTGTCTGGTCTGGAATTGTCCATCTGGTTCTTCAGGAACTTACAATGGTGGTAATTTCATGAATTATTCCATTCTTTGAATATTCCATTTGGGCTGTCTTCATAACTCTTAAATGTGATTCATTACATTTTATTTTTGTTTGTTTTCTCATACAGTTTTGACTGAAATTTTACGTAAAAATTAATGCACATTTTAAAAATAACATAATTCAGGGCTGGGGATGTGSCTCAAGCGGTAACAAGCTCGCCTGGCATTCGCGGGGCACTGAGTTCAATCCTCAGCACCACATACAAATGAAATAAAGATGTTGTGTCTACCAAAAACTGAAAAATAAATATTAAAAAATTCTTTCTCTTTCTCTCTTCTCCCTCTCTTTTAAAAAAAATAACATAATTCAATAATATTTTTCCAGAAAATGATATAACTCTGAGATTAACAATATTTATAAAAATATTTTTGAGGGTCTTTAAAAATATATTTTTAGTTGTAGATGGACACAATACTTTATTTAGTTTACACAATGTTAATTTAGTTTTATTTGGTGCTAGGGATCAAACTCAGGGCCTCACACATGCTAGGCAAGTGCTCTACCACTGAGCTACAACCCCAGCCCTATTTTTGAGGTATTTTATTGCTTCAGGTTAATTATCCTGATTGTTTTATACTGAAATTCTAATTTGCAAAAATTCTAAATGTTCCTCAGAAAATGATCTCAAAATTGAGGTTTCCACCAACAGTCCTGAATGTTACTATAATAGAATAACACATCCTGCAAAAATATTCTAGTTAATTGAAAGTTTTCATGTGGGCTCAAGTTTACCTGTCATTTTTTTATGTAAAGTTGGGGCTATGGTGATGATGAGTTCACTCAGCAAACACTAACTGGTTGCTTGTCACTAAGCAGTACTAGTGAACAAGAGTGATATATTCTATATCTTCAACATTTTATTGTTTCATAAAAACTAAATCATCATGGGGCAGGGTGGCACATGCCTCTAATCAAAGTGACTGGGAAGGCTAAAGGAGTAGGATCACAAGTTTGAGAGAGGTGTTAGCAACTTAAACTCTTGTCTCAAAGTAAAAAGATTTTAAAAGGGCTGAAAACATAGCTCAATACAGCACCCCTGTGCTCAATCCTGGTTAGTACCAAAATATAAATAAATAAATAGATCCTTAGAACTCTTGGGAAGGAGGGGACAGGATAGGCTTCTTAGGGAACTAAGTAAATTTTAAGCTGATATTAAAAAATAGTAGCTACTTGGATACAGAAAAAGGTAAAAGAAGAGCATTGTAGGCAGAAGGGGAGGGAATCAGTAGCCTTTGGGGAAAGATCCCGGCAGGTCTGAGGACTGGGATAGATGCCAAGAATGCAGAGAACAAGGAGTGTTTAATACAGAATGTTGTGGACCACAGTAAAAATGTGATGATTGTACAAGGACAAGATATTGGTGAAGGATTATAAAGGGAAGAATATGATGGTATTTGCATTATAATAGATTCTCTTTGCGCATGGTTTGGAGCAGAACAAGACTGTCATTAAAAAACAATCTTGGGATTATGACAGGAGATGGTAGCCTGGARGATATGAGGATGATGTAGCAGCTGAAACCATTAAGAAGAAAGGAAGAATAGTCCCAAATGCCTTCTGGGTTGCCACCTTGAGCAAGAGATCAGAGGACCTGAATGAGAACCAGATATGGGGAGGGGGCTGGAGGGGGGGCGGTGGGGTGGAGGATTTGAATGGGGAAGATGAGTAGAAACAAAATCTCAGAAGGAGGTTACCTAGGAAATAAATGAATAGAGATATTTTAGTATGAAACATATAGCACATAAAAATGTTACCCCCCMGGGAAAATTATGGAATCTCTAGTGACATCTGCATTGTTCCCAACCCCTTTATGGCATGACTTTGCTTTAGTAGGAGAGAGTAGAGTGCCTYGAAATTCTTTTTTCTTTTGGGTGGGCACAGCCTAAGTGCTACAGTCAGGAAAGGATGAGATAAATATAAAATTTGTAAATAAAATGAGAAGTGTAAAGTTGTTAAGCTGAAATTCATGATATGACAATAAAAAGGCAAGATGGTTACACAAGTTTATGTATGATATGATAGCTGTTTTATTATTGGGGGAAAATTCTCCTTAAAATGACCTTGGATCTGTTTSATGGTTACTACCCTTGATTTTTAAACATGCAACATACAAATAGAACCTGGTAAGGATAGTTCATCAATTCGAGGCCTGTCAAGGGGTATTTGTGCATGTCTGTCACCTCAGGAAATTAATATGTCTATTTTCGTGTCCTTTACAGTAAACCAGAAATGCCATGCAAAGCCATGAATACTACAAAAGTTCAGTTTGAGAATACCAATATTTTGATCACTTACCTGATTTGATATTGTTGTAGTTGTACATTTTTATACAAGTCATTTGTTTTTGTTTTTTGTTTTTAAAACAAATTAAAAATTAGTCCCCCCAAACCATTTGTTAACCCATGAAACTTGCCTTAATTTTGACAATATTTTGTTACAGGGGATTATGTTGTCATGACTATATATTTTGAATTGAGCAGAAGAATGGGATACTTTACTATTCAGACATACATTCCCTGTATACTGACTGTGGTTTTATCCTGGGTGTCATTTTGGATTAAAAAAGATGCTACACCAGCAAGAACAGCATTAGGTAAGTATAAAAAAAAGTCTTCCACCATTTTGTATGATTTTAATTCAGAAATATTTATAAGATACCTACAATTAAAGAAATTTGGTTCAGAGCAATTGATCTAATTTGAGAGTTACTTAACCATGCTTAGAATATTTTTTGAAGTATCTAAGTAAGGTTGTTCTTTCTGACAATGAAATTTCATGTGTGCTACTTAATTTAAGACAGATTAGGTGTTTGGAATAAATCACCTGCATAATCTGTTACTAAGCCTTAAGATTAATGCCATCAAAAAATGTAGTTTCATTTTGTAACCTGCCAACTTGAAAGTCTCATTCAGTTTCAGAAAATAAAACTTGCTGCTGACATTTGAGGATGAAAGACACTATATTGGTAAAATAGTTTCTCAATAAAAGAAGTTCTACTTAGCAATTTTGACAGCAAATAAGAAAACAATCATTCTTTCCAGCTATAATCCACATATGCTCAGTCTTTTCATGAGTTTTCTCTGGTCCTCAAAATCCTCTTAATAAAACACAAAATTATAGTAATGTTAGCTTGTTCAACATTTATATCAGGTTTTTATGGTTAAAATTTCGCCTAACTTTCATGTTTTTATTTGTGGTAACAGGTAATAGTATGATAATGAATATAGAGGTTATTTCCCCCAAAAAAATAGTTTCTTCAGAAAAGKGGAAGCTGCCTCAATTCCAAATCCTCACAAAGTCTCTCATATTACATTATGTTTTCCCTGTGATATTTTTATTCTTTATTTGACAGTGAAGTACTATTTGCTKAGATTAATTACCCTGAAATATCTTCTGCCAATATTGGTTTCACATTTTTATAGAAAATACATGATAGAATTGGTAAATCAGCAGACAATGATATGAACATAAATTTAGCAACTACTATTGGATTTATATCCTCATAATTACAAATATTAGTTATCATTATGAGCCAGCCCCGATTCAGTTTTGCTTTCTATGGTTTCAGTGGCCCAGTCACAATAATCAAAAAATATTAAATGAAAAATCCCAGAAATAAATAATTTATAAGTTTTAAATTTTACACCATTCTAAGTAGCATAATGAATCTTGCACCACATCAYGTCATCCCACCTGGAATGTGAATCATCCCTTTGTCCAGAATATTCATAGTGTATATACTACTCACCCATTAGTCACTTAGTAGCCATCTCAGTCATCAGGTCACTTATAATAGTATCAAATTACTTCTATTCAAGTAACTCTTATTTTACTTAGCTATGCCTCAAAATGCAAAAGTAGTAACACTGGCAATTTGAATATCCTATGAGAAGCCAAAAAATACTTTAAGTGAAAAAGATGAAAGTTATTGATAATTAAAAAGTCAATAACTGACTTTTTWAAAAAACAAATCATTATTAATAATGATTTCAGACATATGCTGAAATCACAACACCCATATCACTCACCTCAATTCATCTCATCATGTAGACATTGCATTATCTCACATTATCATAGGAAGAGGAAGTTTAGTACAGTGCAATGAGATATTTAAGAGAAAAAGAACATTCAGATAATTTATTATAGTGTATTGCTATCATTGTTCTACACTCTTATTAGTTATTATTAATMTTTTACTGTACCTAGTTTAGAAATAAAGCTTTATCATAGATTTGTCTGTATAGGAAAAAAACAGTGTATATAAGGTCTGGTAATATCTGCAGTTTTGAGTATCCACTAGAGGTCCTAGGATATAACTCCTGTGGATAAGGAATATGCATAAACAAGCACACACAAAAATCAGTAAAAGGATAGAGGATCTACACAATACTATCCATGTCTGTGACTATTTGATATTATAGAACCCAAAATCCATCATATAAATGGACTTCAACTTGTGTCTTCACTATACTCAAAAAAAATAATTTACATGGATCAAAGATTTATGGCAAAGCTAAAAATGTGAATATTCTCGAAGAAAAAAATAGGAGTTTGCTATTGGGTTAAATAAAAACGTCTTAGACTAGAAACAAAAACCTCCTATGAAGAAAACTTTGAAACATTTATGACATAAAAATATCTTGACCAAACAGGTATTTCTTGCTAGGGGAGTCAATAATATAACATCATGAAGATTTGTTTTTTTATACACAATAAAGGTATCATCTCCAATGTATAGTTTCTCCCTCCTTTTTTCTTTTTTAATGTTTTTGATGTACAGAAATTTTTATTTATGAATCTTTGTATTGATGGTTTCTGGTCTAAATATGCTGTAAGTATGAGTACTTTTCAATTTTGTAGTAGAATGATTATTTTTAATCTCATAAAATAATACCCAGAATATCCAAGATACTATCAAATATCACCCATTATACAAGAAAYGATGTCAATATTGAGATGACTCAGATAGAATTATCTGACCAGGATTTTAAAGTAGCAGCATAAACATGCTTCATTGATGAATTACAGATACACAGGAGTTATGAAAAATAAAATAAAATAAAAAGCTTCATCAAGGTAGTAGAGGATATAAGGAGAACCAAGTGAAAGTTTTAGAATCAAAAGTATCCATACCAGAATTAAGAACTTAGGAGAATGTTCAAAATAGAATGGAGGGACCAAGGAAAGAATCAGAAAGGACTTTGACATAGGACAAGAAAAWATTACTTAATCTAAGCAACAGAGAGAAAATAGACTGAAAAGATACCAATAAATTGAGTTTGGGGACTTGTGAGATGATCAGAAACAGCCTAACCTGTATCACTGAAATTCCAGGAGAAGAGGATGAAGCTGAAAAAGTATTCAAAGGAATAATGGCTAAAAAATTCTCAAATTTGTCAAAAGGTATAAAATTTGCATATTCAAGAAGCTAAGGAAGCCCCAAACAAAATAAATACAAAGAATTTTTTTTTTAATGACACTATCTCTAGAAAAGAAAAACAGCATGAATGACAATTTCTCACCCAAATCATGGAGGCCAACTACTGAAAGGAAAAGATTGTTTACTCAGTTTTCTACACCCAATGAGACTATCTTTCCAGAAAAAGAAGAAGTCCATATATTATTTGTCAGCAATCGATGCACCTCAGAATAATGACCAGAAATACTTCTTGAAATAGAAATTAAATAATGAGCAAACAATATTTGGAACAATAAGAAGGCAGAAAAAAACTAATGCAAATAGTGAAGATATGAGTAAATAAAATAAGAATATACCAATTAAAAAGAAGTTGACAGTGAATAAAAGATAAAACAAGAACCAACTATGATCTGTCTATAAGAAAGTCACTTCAAGTAGGATAATTTAGGTAGGTTAACACAAATCTTCATGAAAACTGTGTTTGTAATAGCCAAATCCTGGCAGGAAGATGCCTCAACAAATAATGATTAAGAAACTCTGGCACAACCTAGACATGGAGTGAACAATGCTTCCCAATAGAGAGGAACAAACTATTAGTACAGCGGCAATTTGAATGGGTCTCAAGGGCATTGSCCTGAAGTGGGGGACACTAAAAATACTCTTGGTTTCTGACTTAAGTAAGATGTAAAAACCTGTACTCATCCATCCCTCTGAGGTCAAAAAGAAAGTTGCTCTGGGGTCCTGTGAGGCCAGACATTCTCCAAATAATCATACATGTGTTAGAACCACCTGAGATTCCTTTTGAATGCCCTGGTGCTTTCCCATTGGAGGGAGATGAGACTACAGTGCCAACCAGCTTTCAAGAGTAACCCTGTTGGCTGTGTAGCTTAGATACCATACTAAGCAAGACTTCCCCATCCACATTTTTATTTTCTTCTCAGCATTGTATAGTTTGTGTGGGTTGCAGGGGCTGGGGGGATGGCAGAGTGGAACAGAGATGTAGCCACTCACTGCACACAGAATACTGGCCAGTAGTGACAAATAATGAACAAAATAGATAATTTCACTGAAATAGAAACTAAGATTTTGAATTTCTTTTTAGACATGACATGGTCACCCAATGTTTTAGGTTAAATTAGATATTTATTATAAGAGCTTTTCCCATAAACGTATATCTGGAATTAATGTAGACTTTTCCAGTTTACACAGCATTTTTTTAAGTTGTTTTATTTTTTAATTTGTTCTAATTAGTTATACATGATAGTAGAATGATTTTTAAACATTGTACACAAATGGAGCACAACTTCTCCTTCCTCTGGCTGAACACGATGCGGAGTCTAACCATTAGTATAATCATACATGTATATAGGGTAGAAATGTCCATCTCATTCCACTGTCCTTCCCATCCCCAGATAGCCCCCCTCCTCTAACTCCCCTCTGCACAATCCAAAGTCCCTTCATTTACACCACACACACACACACACACACACACACACACACACACCCTGCGCCATTATGGATCAGTATCTGCTTGTCAGAGAAAACATTCAGCCTTTGTTTTTTTGAGTTTAGCTTATTTCACTAAGCATAATATTCTCCAGCTCCATCCATTTACCTGCAACTGCCGTAATTTCATTCTTTTTTAAGGCTGAATAATATTCCATTTTGTATATGTATCCCATTTTCTTTATCTATTCATCTGTTGAAGGGCATCTAGGTTGGTTCCACAGTTTAACTATTGTGAATTGAGCTGCTATAAACACTGATGCYACTGTATCATTATAGCAGTATGCTGATTTTTAAATCCTCTGGGGATAAACCTAGGAGTGAGATAGCTGGGTCAAATGGTGGTTCCATTCCAAGTTTTCTGAGGAATCTCCATACCAATTTCCATAACTGTTGTGCCAATTTGCAGTCCTACTCACACAGCATTTTTAAATGAAGCGTTGCAACTTCCTCATGTAAAGGAGAGACAGGGATCCTATTCTTATTATATTGCTTTAAAAAAAAATCAAAGAAGATAATTGATACCCCATTACCAAATGCAGAGAAGGTGTAGGGCAAGGCTGAGAGCTTGGACTTCCAAGTCAATGTGCTAAGTCAAACTGTCCACCCTGGTGCTTTGAGTTCATTCCACAACTTCCCCTGGCCGAAATGCCTTGAGCAGGTGCAGGGAAGAACTAAAAGAGGGTGACGCAACTGCAAGATGAGAAGTCATGTCATTCATCTGTCAAGTGTACCTAATTCTGAGGAGTACTGCAATGCAGTGTTAACATCCAGGTGCCTGTGATTCTGTGGTCCATGACGCTGACCTTCCCCATTCCATAGCTCTGGCAGGGCTGATTTCCCAGGGAGTCCCTCCAGGAGGCACTGAGCMTTAACATGCCTCATGTTATAGTCTTCTTTATTTCACTCTTCATGTTCAGTGGTCTTCATCCCCTTTTTCATTTGTTTTCCTTTTGCTAACTTAATTATTTCCACAGTCTTTGATTACTCCTTTAGTGTTGACTCTCCTATATGAAATAGTAAAAGTCAAACCAATAGTGAGTATTAGCAATTGAATAGTCAAACCAATAATGAGTATTATCAATTAATTGACTCACTCGAAGCAAAATGTTCACTTAAGTACCTAAAATGTGCTGGCTTCTATACTGGGTGATAGGCAAATGAAGATAAGCAAGATCCAGTTTTGCTTTTAAAGATCACACAATCTATTTGAGGAGACAGACATGTAAAGACAGATGCAATTCACTGTGATAATGCAAAAGAAAAAAGTAGTACACAGAGTACAAGGATGGCACAGATGGCAGATGCTCATATCATCAACTCTGTCTGGGATGTTGTCAAGGGAAGGCAGCTCAGAAAGAGTGGTGCTGGACTCCAGCTTGAAGAATGGTGGGAGTTTACACATTGGATAGATAGGAGGGGAGGAGAGGGAAAGAAAAGGGTTTATCTGGTGCGAGAAAAGTGAGATGTGAAATAGCACAGAATGCACAGGAAAACTGCAAATTGTATCTTCACTAAAAGTATTTAAAAGAAAAAATGTCAAACAATAAGAAAATTACTAAATCAAACAATATGTCAATTCAGGTACAGAGGATTCTCAAAGTTCAGTGGAGATATGCCCCCCAAAATCCCATCATTGGTTGAAAAATCATAAATCAAAAATGTATTTAATATGCCTAACCTACTGAACTTTCTAGCTCAGCAACGGAGTGCACTGTGAAGTGTTTAGGGGCTCCCTCTGGTGATCCTGTGGCTGATTGGCAGCTGCAGCTCCTTGACACTCCTGGGCATTGAGAGAGCGTATCTACTACATATTGCTACTCAGAGGAAAAAAATCTACCTTAGAATTTAAAGTACAATTTCTACGGAATGCATGTCACTTTTATGTCATCATACAGAAGAAAAATCTCAAGTTGAATGTAAGTCAGAACTTGTCCACATTTTAATGTTATTGTGAAGGTGATTATAAGAAATGTTATTGTAACCTCCCACAAATTGTATAGATSTTAAAATTAAAAGTAAGATTACATAAGGTAGGCAGTGGCCAAGAAGGATTCCTGTTAAGCAGTCACGGTAGCGTGGGGCATCRTGAGTGATCTCTTGTTTTTGTCATATGGCATCTTCTCACCATCTGATGACTGTCTCCCCTCACACAGGCATCACCACTGTGCTCACCATGACCACGCTCAGCACCATAGCCAGGAAGTCCCTGCCACGAGTGTCCTATGTGACAGCCATGGACCTCTTTGTGACCGTGTGCTTCCTGTTCGTTTTTGCTGCTCTGATGGAATATGCCACCCTCAATTACTATTCAAGCTGTAGAAAACCAACTGTCACGAAGAAGAAAACATCGGTGAGTGGCAAAGACAGCAGAGATTTTCTGGGAGGTAGTGTAAGGATATGTTAAGATAAACATGTGCTAAAATGCTATCGTGTTCCTAAGGATCTTACAAAACATGATAGAAATAGCTAACTCGATAAGACTTTAAAACACTAGACAGCAATTCTGGAGATGTGAATGTAACCCTCAACTTTTCTCCAGCTCATCACTGCAGGTGACAAGGACTGGTTTAGGCATGCCTTAAAGACTTCTCTAACTAGAGTTATATGGGGTACAGATGCCCATGGCAGTGTGCTAATTTTTTCTTTCTTTTTTTTTCCCTTGCAGTTATTACACCCAGATTCCTCAAGATGGATTCCTGAGCGTATAAGCTTACAAACACCCTCTGTATGTATAGCTTTATAGGTGCTAATGTTTCTGAGAAATTTTATTAAACTAGCTTGCATTTGAAAGTGATGTTCCTGTTTACATATGCATGTACTGAAGACCCATGAGTGATGTACATGCTGCTACTTTTTAAATATCCAGTTTGGAACATTTGCAAAATAGAGTATAAAATTAACCATAATCCTTCTCCTCAGGGATTAGGGTATAGTATGCACATGTCCAACTTTTTTCTAAGCATTCAAATAACATATATTCATATACTTTAGATGAACTAAATAATGATCTATATATTGTTTTATAACCTCTTTTGATAACTCAAAAGCATGTACTTAAATTTTAAATCACTGATATGAACTGCTACTTATATAATAAGCTTCTTTTGTGAGTGGAGTTTTTATTCCTTTAGACCATATCAATTCCCTAATTACACTAAATGTTTTAGGCCCCTTCTACCATACATCACAGGTGGTTTTCTGTTTTCCAGTGCCTTATATTTAGAGCCTTTCAGCCTTTTTTCTTATAAGGAGACTTTAGTTATCTGTACTTCGCAAGTGTATATCATGGTAGTTCTGACAGAAGGTTAGTGGGCAAACCACTTTTACAGTTGTGGGAAGCCAGCAAATGCTTCCAAATAGCACCCGACTGAAACATAAGGGAGAGAGGCCGTGTGGAATAACAGACACAAGTCGGAACTAATAGCCTGAGGCCCAAGGAGCACATTCTCACACACAGCCAGGGGCTGGGAGCTATGGAAAAAAATATTGACATCTTTGGTGTAGAAATGATACTGCCAAAGGAAGGGGTGAAAATCCTTTAACACAGAGAAAAATAAAATTTCCACAAAACTAGAAAAAAAAATTTTAAAGAGGAAAAGTTTAATGCCCTTGAAAACAAAGAACAATTCACAGACAAAGGTGCCAGACCAAGTGAGAAGACACAATCAGAGAGATTTTTCAGACAGAGCTTATACTTTAGTCAAAGTAAAAGGACTGTTTTCAGCTATTCGATGAAAATTGTCACCACTTCAACTCCTTTTCATTACCAGTAAGAGAAAGCAGAAATGAGCAGCCTCCTGAGAGAGGGAGAAGATGTTTTGGGCTCCAATCTCATGTGTGGTCTGGGGCAAGTTTGTGCTTTGATGTCCAAACCCATCAAATGCAAAGCTAATGTGCTTCCCAGGTGCCTAAGAAATACCATATTCCAAGAGGTTATGAGGCTGCATTATCCATCAGGAAAGGAGTAAGTCCAGGACCCAGTTTGATGATGACTTTGAGGAAGCATTCATTGAAATTCTACCTTGGCCATAGTTTGAAATATTTGTGACAAATGTGAAGCATGCTTGTGAAGAAGTACTTATACAATGGGAAACATAGCTGTCTAGGGCAGAGATAACAGGTACCTATTGCTTGAGATACTTTGGGCTGTTTTTATTGCATTTCATATTGGTTGATGTATTGCTCTTGTGCCTGCAGAACTATTCTCTCCTGGATATGAGGCCACCTCCGCCTGCTATGATCACTTTAAACAATTCGGTGTATTGGCAGGAATTTGAAGATACCTGTGTCTATGAGTGTCTGGATGGCAAAGACTGTCAGAGCTTCTTCTGCTGCTATGAAGAATGTAAATCAGGATCATGGAGGAAAGGGCGGATCCACATAGACATCTCGGAGCTGGACTCGTACTCCCGGGTCTTTTTCCCCACGTCGTTCCTGCTCTTTAACCTGGTCTATTGGGTTGGATACCTGTATCTTTAAGTGCTGCCCTTAGTGATCAGTGAGGAGCACTTGGTTCACATCCTTCACCTTCCATCACCCCAGACTAGTAGTGACCAGTTGAGAATAGCAAGGAAGGTCACTGCTCACTTTATCTTTAAGTTATGAATTACCTTTCAGCAGCACAGGAAGTATCTGGCAAATATTCCTAATATGTACACATATACACATTAATTTAATTTTTGAGTGATATTCTTACTAATCCCTTACTGCATCTGTAGCTTGGTGATATTTATGAATGGTTTTGGATATTGGAAGCAGCTGCCTATTACCCTTGCAAAGAAATCTGTAAAACACAGAAGCAAATGTCTGAGAAGCCCTCTCGGGCTCCCACCTGTTATGTATCTTTCCTTCATAGGTCATAGCACAACAGCCCAAGTGTACTGAATCCCTTTTAGCCAAGACACATTTGTGCTGGCCTCTCCCCATGCTCACAAGGCACTCAAAGTTCAAGTGAAAACTACAGTGATTTTTGATCCCGGTTTCTTCCCTCTGCAGTCTCTTTTGCTTCATCACCACCATCGTTATTAGCTAGCCTTCCCTTTTCCCAACAGTCTCACCCTAGGCCTGGGAGGACTTCACAAGTCTCCATTTGAGGGGAAAAAAATCATGATTTTCAAAATTATCATGTTGCTGAATTCAAAGATATTGATTATCTCTGGATATTAGGTTATTACTTTATTCTAAACTACTATACATCAACAGTACTTGAACTTTGGGTTCTTGGACTAGAGTTCAGTGACATTTCCCCTTGAGATCTGTATTTTATTAGACCAAGGCTCAACTGCAGAGTATGTGTCTAGTTTATGTTGTTATTATGGGTTCAGTAATTGTCTTCATCTTGTGAAGAGATACCGAATGTACAAGACTTTGTCTTGAAAACATTCTAAAGTGTGAAAGAAATATAGATAGAATTTCAAAAATTTCCTAGCAAATATTAATTTTCAAGTCAAACCAACTTTAGATGCAAAAAATGGTTAATGGCAATCATCAATTATATATTTTGGTGAGTTAATATTGTTTTATACTTTGAAATACGGATACATAGCAAAATCCCAAAGAAAAAGAATCCCAAGTCAATACTCTTTTGATATTTTTATAACACAAAAAAATTTGCTTCTTGATATTAGTTCTTTGTTATAACTAGATGCCAGTATGACCTTCATATGACTCTTTTAAAGTTTCCCTCCATCAGTAGGAAAAACAAAAAAACCTACCAGTTAGTTAATAATGCTTCAGAATTCTTAAAATTTTAATACCAGAATCTTTGTTCTTCTCACCTCTCTCTCTCTCTCTCTCTCTCTCTCTCTCTCTCTCTCTCTCTCTCTCACACACACACACACACACACACACACACACACACAGCATTACTTTTATTGGAAACAATTTATTTTTCAATTATCCATTGTGCATATCATTATTACTCAAAAAAGTGAAACATTATGTAGATGAAATATATAAAATTCTAATTTCATACAATTTACTGAATGTATACCAGAGAAGGAGTTGAAAGTAGAAGAGACCAGAAAGACTAATATTAGATATGACTGTTTATTCTTATTAACATTGGTCCATATCAAGTGAATGCAAAGATATTAATATAAGACCACCCAGTTTTCAAGATACTCAATCCCATTGTTCTTCTTACTGTAAAGCTGTTTTTAGGTTTGATACTTGCTRTTTAAGCAACAAGTCGATTGACTTCTGTTTAGCAACTTTGAGTTAAAAAATAAGGTAATAAATACATGTGGGGAAATAGGTTGATTATAGTTTAAATGAAATCTCTCCTCCATTGGAGAATTAGTATCCTAGTTCTGTCAAGAATGAAGGTCACTTTTCACCCTTGGCAGATACACTCTGGAAGTGCCCTGATAAAAGAAATTCCCTGGCACACTAAATCTTTGAGTACAGAGAGCAGGCAGCACCAACATAATTCCCAATGTTACATAATTTCTAACAACATGAAAAATTTAAACCTGTTATATTTTAAAAGAAGTTCTGGAGAGAGAGAGAGCTAAAATTTCTAGTGAAATTTTTCTTAAGAGGAAAATAAATAACCTAAAAGCAATTTTTACAACACAGGTTTGGTTCCATGTTACTATAAAAACAATTCTACAGATGCGTCTTATCTCAAAAGCACTCAATATTTGAATGTTGTTAGAAACTCTCATGACATTTTAGGTGTAGAATGTGTAGACCCATAGCCCCAGTTTTCTGAATCCAGCCATTCTCTTTCTCTCAATCTCAGCTATCCACCTGATCACAATGCAGTAGTTCATAGCTCCATGAAGGAGAACCTTCCTCTCAAGAGAGTCTAAACAGCGTTCACCTAACAGAGCATAAAATAGATTCCTGCACAGTTAGCAATCTACAAAGTCTGACTAAAAAGAACCAAAGCATCCCCTGAGAGCATACCAATGCCCATTTCTCTGCATAATTCACATAACTCCACATCAGTCTCAACTCCTGAGATGAGCTTTGTCAGTCCACAATATAGAAGAGACACATGCACCTTGCTCAGGTGCAGAGCTCAGGGGCTTTCAAAGCATACATGTGTTTACTTTGGGGAAAAAGTAGAGGAGGGGCAAGGTGGGGGGTGGAATGAGGAGATTATGGGCATCCTCTTTAACCACTCTCCCTCACCAGGATGATTGGTTATGGAGGAYGTGTGGGGCACACAGACCCAAGACTAGTTCCACAGAGCCTGYCCCTTGCCCTGCAATAGAATTGGTGGATATTTTGAGTGGAAGTTATCTGAGTGGTCTGTATTCCGAAGGTGCTAATGTGCTCCTCACTTTAGAAATACTCAAAATTTGAGGAGATGACAGTTCCATGCTTGGACAAGAATTGCAAATTTTTGACCACTGTGGATCAAACTTAAAACTGTGACTATCTCTCTCAAGCCACATCCTGGGTGAGGGGGATAAAGAAAAACTTACAAAGGCATTTTACACATTAATAAAATTAGATCAAAATGCCTCTTCAGAAATTAAAAGGTTCCAACACCACAGGCCAGAAGACTCTCCAGATACTGGACAGAGAAAGACACTGTTAATATAATTTACTGTGGACTCAGCCAATACTGCCCCCAATTTACCCAAAATATGCCTTAAAATAAAACAAAGCTCAAATAATATGCTTCTTGTAAGATTTTCCATTTCCTGCAGTCAGCTATATTTCATTCCAGGTTTTATTTCTCTTTTATGCTTAGATGAAAAGAGGACTTCATTTCTTTATATGACAAACAGTTTATCCTCAACTTTATATCAAATCAGTTCAATTAAAAAGTTTCTGTGGATTCTTCAATTGAGGAAATGCTTGCCCTGGATCACAAAGCATTTTCATATGCTACATACGGGAAATTGGGGCCAATCTGAAAGTCAGCAACCTAGTCCTTGTGATGAGGCTGTGAATGTCCATAGAGAATCTTCACACCAACTCATTTGAACAGGCAACAGCCTGCTACAGTAAAAATTAGTTGTGAGGCAAGTTGCTTCGAAGCTCTGCAAAATGTCATGCTCTGGAAACAATGGAGGAGGGAGACCAGTAACCCCATTTCCATTGACTACTGTTTGCCACAACTGGCAAGCAACGGGCCACTCTATCCAAAGGGCTAGAATACAACACAGACAAACCTCTACTTCCTCAGTCATTTTAATCTTGGTTGCCAAACTGAACACTTTTTGTGTTTTCCTTTGAGACTGAAAAAATAATAACTGGTCTCCAACCATTATTCTTACAACCTTATAAATTCAATGCTCTCAAGGCACCAAGCATTTCAAATCCACTCTCTGATCTTGCAAAAGTTTCTAAGCTTTTTTCAGAGAGTTTATAAGCTGTATACAAATGAGATTTCACCTTCAATTTATATTAAAAATAGTGAATGACCTGAGACAAACATAATCTGATGTAAATACATACATGTTCAAATGTTAAACTCCATCTGTGTTTTCTAAACTGTCCATTTTGGGCTTCAGAACACTACCCTTTAAAAATATTATTCAGAGATGTGTGTGGAAACAAGGGGGTAAAGAACCAGATTGTGAACACATTGTAAATGTTCAATTCATAATTTTCTGCTGGCTCTCTTTCAAATTGTCTAAATTAGAAAGTGTATAATCTGTATATATTTCTTTTTCTCAGTTTGGCCTATAGGAAGCAGTTAGGTTTAAAGAGGTTAGAAGTACCTCCATGTTTGTTATCTGTATAATCATACCCAAAGGACTAAAAACTAACCAACAGTTCAAGATAAATGATAAATTCCATCTCTGACYTATCTTTTAATATAAAAAATAGATTTATATGATTACAGGGACAAAAAAATGTATGTCCTTAGATGGTAGGGTAACAGCTTAACCATTCTTTACTTCTGGAAAAATAAAAAGTTGTTTTGTTCTGTTTTTAATGTCTAAAACTTTTGAAGACTACAGAGTGCAGCATTTCTATTTTTTGTTTCTTTAAAGTTCTTCTGATTACAAGGTAGCAATTCCAGGATAAAAGCTTTATCTACTTTTGTCAAGGTCAAAAAGGAGACTGTTTCCATTTTTTTATTATTATTTTTTTTAATTTTTAGAATGTCCTCTAGTTCAATGATACCTTGATTTTCTTATGTTGTCAAAAAGATCCCTTAAACTTCTTACTGCTATGATTACATAAGATCCCAATATTAGACCAGTTGAAATAAATCACTGCTAATCCAGTGGTCACTAATAAATTTTTCCATGTTTGAGTTAATCAAATGGGTTTTTCAGATTATATTATACAGGTACATAAGCTAGAAAATAATTAGGCAGACAAATCACATATTTACACACACACACACACACACACACACACACACACACATTTACCACATATACACATACACCACCCAGAATAAACACTATTTGAATATACTGTTCAGGTAATTGAGGCAAATGTAAATTGCTTTGCTTGATCTATTCAGATAAGCACCTACTTTTACCACTTCATTTTTCGCATTTGTAAACACAATATAAGATTTCCCCAGCCCAGTGAGCAGACTACACAATATGAGGGTAATAACAGTTCCTGCAGGGAAGGAAGATCCTCTATAACTGCTGAACAGTTTAAATTGAATAGGCTGGAAAGAACATTGATTCTCAATAATGAAGTCTCCCGGATTGAGCAAGTAGCTGCTGTATTTTCTCTCTTCTATATATTCAGGATTCCTTCTTCATTTTTCCCAGCAAAGTACACTCCTCCGGTTCTGAATCCATAGTTTCAACCAACAAAGAMTGGAAAATATTTTTTAAAAGTTGCACCTGTACCAAATATATACAGACTTTCCTTGTC